TGCACTCCAGTCTGGGCGACAGAGTGAGACTCCAACTCAAAAAAAAAAAAAAGAATTAATGAGATGAAGAATGTGAGTTCTATAAGCATTTAGAAAAGAAAAAGTTTTATAATTTTAAACTTATTTATAATGGTGAAAATCTGTCAACACTAAGCTTCCAGCAATAGGGAAAGAGCTAAACTATAGCATATCTATCTGAGAGAATATACACAATTGTGTGTGAATTTATGCAGCAATAGGGAAGAATACTCAAAATATTACAATGAATAAATCAAAATAGGAAATATTATCTGTGCACCCATTATTGTGACAAAGTTCTGAATGTCCAAGTGTCTAGAAAAATATAAATGGTTAAGACCTGAATCCTGTTGATGGGCAAATTGATGAGAGATTAAATCTCATCAGTTTGATTTTCTTTATTATTCTTATTATGTTAGCTGAATAATTAAGACAAAGTTATTGGGGACACTACTAAAAACACACTTTAACCTGTATATCAACTTGCACAATTTTGGGCTGGCTCCTAGGGGACGCAGCATTAACAGAACCAACAGGAAGCTATATGGACATAACTGGTTTCACCCTTGAACCAAGAGAAAGTCCTCTTGTTATGGCCCGATCCAATAAATTGGCTGCTATCCTTCACCGTCAGTTAAAACACGAGAGGCAGAGACTGGGAGAAAAGAGAGTGTCTAATTTCTATCAACAGGTTATAGGGAGCCAGGTCGGCATCATTGACAAAAAGCTCACTCAAAGCAACACAATTCATTCCAGTATTTATATCCAAAATTCATAGCCCTTTACCCACCCCGAGTTCGAAGACTACGTTCCGTTTTAGCATGACTCAAAATTTATGTCAACAATTTTTGATATGTGACCACTGACGTGACACAAAGTATCCTGGTCATGTTGACATTTGAGATAACATTTTGGAATTCACAATATGTTTTTACAGTATTTTTAGAGGAAGGGGCAGACTATTGCAACGTTTGGGTGGAAGGGAACACATAATTTTAACAATGTGTTATTCTCAGAGCCTTGGGCTGTAGCAGCCTGATGTCCTTATATTTACAGATGGAGGGGAGATGGGCAATGCCCACTCCAAACTTTCAGACACACTCCTATCGGCCTTGGAATACTCTCCTAATCATTAGGTGGTCTGGCTCGCCGGGCTGTTTCTTCTTCAGCACCAGCAATGACTTACTCGCCATTCAGGAAAGGCAGTGCTGGAATCCAAGCGGCTTTTAAATTTAGCCCAACTAGGCTACAAAAGAATACAAGTTTTTAAGCCTTTTCTAAATGACTGTTCTAATACAACCCAAATGGCCTCTTTTCAGCCTATAACATCCTGTTCAAGGCTAAGTTCAGCAGAGGAAGAACCTCAGCTTTCCATGACCAAGAGGCCAGCAGGCAGGCAGGCCTGGGTAGGACTACCAGGGCAAAAGTGAGAGGTGCTCCTCTGTCCTTTGTCAGAAAATTTGGGGCTCTCCCTATCAACTCAGAGAAGAACTGACTTCTGGGTAGCCTCCTGGGGGAGTTGGAAAATGTCTTTGATAGCATGGCATTAGTTTTTCTGTGGCATGAGTGTTTCTGATTATGCATGCGCTACTATCTGTTTTTTTTCTACTAAAAACCTAAGCTCCATAAGCAGGAAGCTTGTCAGCGTTCTCCACTGCTATCTCCAGTAAGTGTCTCTAGACACTAGATGAACATCTGGCACAAAATGGGTGCTCAGTAAGTACTTGTTGAATGCATAAATGGTGGTGGGTTGCCAGCTCTTACCTTAGGCATCACTGATGAAAGAGACTTTCTTAGCTCCCACGAGTACATGTGAGCAGTCACCTGACCTTCATATGACACCTCTTGCCTGTGAATGCTGGTTTTTTGTCATTCCCCAAGGCATGAGCCGCTGGAACATGAGACTTTTGTTTGATCCCCCCACAGACTTCACAAAGGGCATCAACCGCAGCTCTTTCTCCCTCAGGTCAACTGCGTCTGCTTGGAAAGACTTGTCTTCTAAGCAAATAAAAATCACTCCCCACTTTTGATTTTCAAAAATCGGTTGAAACAAAAGCACACCTGTCTATCTAGATCTATCATAGGTGATGAGGGCTTTCCAAAAATAGTCACTGCTGCTGATGAGATACCAGTACTCATGCTATTCTATCAGCTGTAAAGTGATAGCAGAATCTCCAACATTCTGAGTGGGAAACTTTAGAAACCCTGGCAATAATGGCTACCAAGTACTTAGTATTAGCTATGTGCTAAGCACTGTCTATAACTTAAGAGTGAAGAATACAAGCTTTGGAATCAGACTGACCAAGGTAAGAGCACAAACTCTGACTTTCACCAGGTATATGACCTTGGACAGGTCATTCAACCCCTAAGACTCCAGACTTAAGACTCCTTTATCTGTAAAATGGGAATAATAATAACAGGTCCTGTCTCACAGGATTATTTACAGAATCAAGTAAGATAATACACCCAAAGGGTTTGCAACAGTGCCTGTGTCAAGCATTATACACATCGATTCACTTCATCCTTGCCACCCCCCACCCCATGGGTACCATTATTATCTCCATTTTGCAAACAGGGAAACTGAGACAGGGAAGATGAGTAATTTTCCCAGATTAAGTCAAATGGCGCTGCAAATGTCCTAGGTTTTTTTAATGCCTTTGTAGTTCTACGTGAAGTTCTTTGGCATAGAATGTTCTTTCCTACCCATGGGGCCATGCCCACTCAACCTCCAACACCAGTTTAAATGCCCTTGGACTCTGAAGTCTTCCTTGTTCCCACAGTATGACTCCACTGTGCCTACTCTGGTCTCCAACAAACTATGTTTGCAGATCTGTCCCAACTAAATTTAGTGCTCCTTTAAGACTTCTCTCTAGGCAGGATATGGTGGCTCATGCCTATAATCCCAGCACTTTGGAAGGCTGAGGCAGGAGGACTGCTTGAGCCCAGGAGTTTGAGACCAGCCTAGGAAACATAGCAATACCTTGTCTCTACAAAAAAAAAAATCCAATAAATTAGCTGGGCATGGTGGCATGCACCTGCAGTCTCAGCTACTCAGAAGATCAAGAGGCTGGGGTGGGAGGATCACCTGCGCCCAGGAGGCTAAGGCTGTGGTGAGCCATGATCATGCCATTGCACTCCAGCCTGGGCAACAGAGTGAGACCCTGACTCAAAAAAACAAACAAAAAAGACTTTTATCAGCCAGGCTCAGTGGCTCAGCCTGTAATCCTGCGCGTTTGGGAGGCTGAGGTGAGTGGATTGCCTGAGCCCGCGAGTTCGAGACCCGCCTGGGCAACTTGGTGAGACCTCATCTCTACAATAAGTCAAACATGAGCCGGGCATGGTAGTGTGCACCTGTAATTCCAGCTACGTGGAAGGTTGAGGCAGAAGGATCACCGGAGCCCAGCAGGTCGAGGCTGCGGTGGCCGGGAGTGGCCACTGCACTCCAGTCTGGGCGACAGAGTGAGACTCCAACTCAAAAAAAAAAAAAGGCTTTTATCTCTGACCCCTGCATCTAGGCAGGCTCTGGGCCATAACTAGCAAATGCTCAGTTATAGCTGAATGAAAGAATGAAGCTAGCTCCCAACACCATCCCTCCCTGCTCTCCACCACCTTCAATTGCCAGAATCACCCACCTGTCCATCACCTTCAATTGCCAGAATCCCCTTTACAGCACTGTCACTGCTGATGTTATTTTGTCTGTTGGATACAGTGAATGACAAGGAATTTACCACCTCCCCAAGTCTCCTGTGACTGTGCAAGCAGCTCTGTTTCTTAGAGATATCTTAAAATTAAGGGAAAACAACTTCTTTGTAAAAATAAAGCCAAT